ACCTGAATTTCAATATCGAAACTAGAAACCGATCATTTTTTCTTGAGTTCGACACTTTTGCTGCTCAATACTGGATTTTGCTTTCTTTTTAATAAAAAACATGAACTGAATTTAAAAAAATGAAAAGTCACAACGCAAAAAATCAAATTCGAGCGTGATCAAACTGTAAGACTTTTTCCAGAAAAAAACTAACAAAAAATCTTGCAACCTATGAAAGTCTTCACTAAGTTAATTGACTCTTAATAAAGCTATAAATAAGTTTCACAACAAGAATCAATAAGCTTCTGGCAGATAACATTTTTGCCCTGAACAAGCGTCCTAAATCATTGCAAGTGGACAATTGAACAGCCGTTAGCAAAAAAAAATTTTTTTTTTTTAATTTTCCACTTTCCTTTCTAACTCTCAAAGCAAATATTATGTTAAATCCATTTGAAAAGAAGGTAGCTTAATCCGCACGCACAAAAGCGCTGCAATCAGAAGCAGTTTTCTGAATTCGGCATGACTCTTGTACCCTTGAACGACCCGTTTGTAGCAATTTATTCCAAACAATCAATAAAAGGTAATTTTTACGGAGTGATTGGTATTTGAAACTTTTATAAGTTTGGAAAATTTTGAGTTCCAAAGATTTTTTTTGCAAATAGTTTCTCAATCATTGTTTTTTAAACTAAACAAGGTGACAGTTTGCGCACTTCGAATTACCTTTGGTAGGAGCAATTTTACCCGAAAAACATAACCGGTAGAACTAGCCCACTAAACATTTTTCAAAATATATGAATCATGAATGGTGCCAATCTATACTAATTTTGAGGGGGGAGCGCGCGCCGAAAAAACGCAATTTTTTCAATTTTTTGGTCGAAATTTTTGGTCGAAGCCTTTTTTCAAAAAATATATAAAGATATTTATATTTATATCTTTATATATTTTTGAAAAAAGGCGTTTTTAGGCACTTTTTGGAAAATTTCGACCAAAAAATGGCGTTTTTCGACCAAAAAATCTAAAAAAGATTGAAAAACTGAATGGAAAACTTGGAAATGAATGGAAAACTTATATGGCTCGTAAACTGAATGGAAATGAATGGCAAACTTATATGGCTCGTAAAGACTGCCACGTACAGAAGCCTTTGTTAAATAATAAGCACTAGTCTGAAACATTCGATCCTTAAATTGAAAACTTAATCAATTCGAAATGTATCTAGAAACACTTACGTCTCAACCGAATATTATAGCTTTAACATAAACATGCTTAATGAAACGACACTCTCAAATATCAACATTTTGAACGACTATTTACAATCTAATCCTATTTACTCCTTTGCAAGCTTAATTCAGGAGGAGCCAGCGTAAGTCTTTTTTTGTCAGAAAAATATTAAAAAAGAGACGGTGCACCCAACTTCCAATAATCATGTGCAAAGTTTCAGTCATCTTTTAAATATAAAGTGTTCTATGACCTTTCTTTACAAAAAACCCAGATATTCTTTGAAGAGTTGTATAGATATCTTCAATGATCACGTGTCACATCTAGATGGGTTGTCCACTAAGAGGCATGTGGCTTGTGGAGATTCTATCTTGATTTTCTCAAAACCAAAACCATGTTGCGAAAATGACAAAAATGATAAATTCATGTGAGGTATACCACAAAGAGGAGAAATATCTTCGAGGAAACAATCTCCAAGGGGTCCTCCACAGATGTTTTTTCAGTAAAATTGACAGAAATTGTTAAATTGTGGAAACAGACATCACTGACAATTATTGTATTTCAATGCATTCACGCATAGATAAATTAGAATACCAGACTAACGGGAAAAAAGTTTTCAAATAAAACAAACGAAAAAGCTCCTAAAACCTGAAACTCAAATTAAATGAACATGTTCTTTCTTTCATGCCACAATAAAATCGACAAGATTCGCGAAGAATTTTTAGAACAATCTTCTGCGTTACATCATGGCCCAAAGAGAAGTATGTACCCACTATAATTATTCCTAAAGCATGCATATATGAGAAACCTTGGATTACAAGAAAATCGAAAAATTAGGTCAACACAAAAGACAATTGTTTTAAAAGTATCTAAATACCAGTTTAGAAAAAAATCAGAAAAATTATAGAAACGTTTCACAGAAATAAAACATTGCTTGCAAAACATTTTAGTCAGTTTTTTTACGAAAACAAATTTCAGATGAAAAGTGACAGAAAACTGGCAGTACCTTTGTTTGAAATGGTTTAAAATTCAAAACAGGAAAAAATAACAACTGCTTAGTCGTTCCTGATTCTAATATTTTGAACAATTTTTGTCAGCATAGGCAAAAAGCTAGCCAAATCACATAAAATCTTGAATGTTCGTTTTATTTGATAAAAAGAAATTATTAAGCCGCATTATATCTTAAACGTTAAGTCCCAGATTATATGGATTGTTGGATACGTATCCAACAGATGTATAGAGGAAGTTTTTTTCCAAGGTTCTGAAACAAGTTAAATATTGGTCAAATAAAACTAATCCTGGCTTTTACAAGCCCAATTTTTGTTTCCGGCTATTTGTAAAATTCTTGAAAAATTTTCAATTTTAAATTTACAAGTCTTTTGCATAAACGTGAATTTCTTTGCAGAGTCAATTTGATTTCATGGATGAAAACAGTTTTGTGGATACTTGTGTTATTTATTGATTATCTTTGAAACAAAATCGCCAGCAAAACTCTATCCACTTGGAAAGTAATTTTTTGTTGACCTTTTTGTTGATCTAGCATTTGACACTGTAGATGATCACCAAATACTATTGAAAAATTGTGAATGATAAGGCCTTCGTGGGTCTATCTACAAAATATATTTCAATGTTTTATGTTTCAAGTAGTAGTCAAACAGTAATTAACAAAAATAGGAAAAACAACTTCGAAACCATTGACCGTGGAGTACTACATTGTTCCTTGCTCATATAAAATATCTCCCTAAAAATTCTAAAACTGCTCATATAACAATGTTTTCCTATGACACCATTATATAGAAAATATAGATCTTGCATCCAAATCAATATCAAATGAGATCACTTTAGAAAACCTCAAATTGAAAAAAAAGTCATTCTAGTAAGTGTCTGCGGATACATTTAGATGAAAACTAAGCGCTCGAAAATCATATCGATCGAGTTTTAATGAAACTGAGACACCTAACTTTAACCATTTATCCATTCAAGTCATTCTTCAAAACTCCAACATTGCTGAAACTACATAAAACGTTTTTTCGACCATTTTTTCAAAACGATGTTCTAGGTACTGACTGCATGTAAATTGGATATAAAATCACTCGAATATTCTCAAAGTAGAATAATCAAATGTGTTTTCTCAAAAAAAAAATCAGTCTCAAAAATATTTAAAAAACTTCTACAGTAAAAGAATTGTTTGTCTACAAATTTTTATTGGAAATCATTTAAACCAGAAAGCAATTTGGAAAACTTTTCAAAAAGTTATTGATACAAAATAAACTGACGACAATATTAGACAACATACACGAAACAAAATCCTTCAAACAAATGAGATCCAGTCAAGGCAGAAAGGAATTAATCTCCAATCAAGGCAGAAATCTGTTCAAATGTTTTGTTTAATTGGACAAAAAAACTATAAGTGACATCTGCAATCTCATTTAAAAATGATTAGCTTTTTATGTTCAAAATTTGTTTCAACTTTATTAATTGGCAATTTCATTGGGAAAATTTTTTACTGGAAGCTGTAAAATTTTGTAATTCTCAAAATGAATGAAAATTCGCGTTTTAATTTGGCTTGGCTATTTGCTTTTGAATTGAAATTTTTTTGAGTGGTAAGCATGCTAACTAACTAACTTCAATGCGGGTAAAAATTACATTTTTTGTGTCACCTATATTCCATACAATTGCTCGAAAGAGACAAAACTCGTAAGGCTGAAAAGTTTATTTGGTTTTCTCCACTTTGGTGCTACTTTTATGGATAATCGTTTACCGATGTATAAAACTGAAAGCAAATTTTTTGTGATTATTATGCCTAATTAGGTCCTGCTTTTTGATTAACGTTTTTGTTCCGACTTTCGATACGAAAGTAACGGAATATTTGTGCTCGGGGTGGGTTTTTTTTTCTTCAGACAAATTTCGACTTTTTACCTAGCCATTTTTGACGGAACTTTTTTTATATCATTCGAAAGCTATTGTTCTCCTGAGCTCACATTTGAAAAGATATTTCACCTGTGATCATTTTTTGTAAAATTATGGGGGTTTAAAGATTGCCATTTTGGCCAATTTGGGACAATTAACGCGCGATATATTTCTCGCTTTTAACGCGTAAGCGGAGAGTTAATCCGTCTTAGAAATCGTTCCAAATTGGTTAAAAGAAGCTTATTCGCCATAATTGGTTTGTTACAAGGAGCAAAATCTACCCTTTTGTACTTTGTATGGCGTGTGGGGGGATGATTTTCATAAAAAATTTCAAAATTTAGAAAAAAAAATTTTTCATTTTTATTTTTCTTACATTTAATTTTTTAATGTTATTATTGCTCCATAAACCTTAAAAGGCAGTCGGAACATTCAGGGCTTCGCCCTGATACGAGCACTCTTGTTGAATTTTATATACTTTTTCTTCTAATAAAATTTCAGCTAATATTTTCCCAGTTAACAAAGCTAGAACAGAACGCCTTCGTTAGAGGGCTGCATTGAAGGTAATATTCAGTTGAAAAGATTTTTGCACCGCAAAACGTACACGGTGGGGGCAGGGGCAATATATCTTTTTTAAAAAGTTAGCCAATAAAAACAAGCAACTCCTATTGAGCCGGTCGGAGAAAAAAAACAAACAGGTTTGGTCGAAACGGTTGAACCATATCGAGTTTTGACAGAAAATGTTGAAGTTAAAGTGAGCAGCACCCTAAATTGGATAGTAAGATTTATATAACTGAATAGATATATCTTGGAGCTGGCCTAAAACGCGCGAATCTTACATGAATTAGACATCATTTCTACTCGAATTTCTTTATAGTAAATTGATACAAATAACCAATTTATTTGAGCTGCGTGGTGGATTTTATTTTTTGGTTGTCCTGTTCTTGGTGGTTTCTGTACTTGTGAACTATCTTGCGGATGTGTCTGAAAGAGTACCTCTCATGGGGGTCTAATTTCCAGCACTTTCGCATCATCAGGTACACCCAAAGAGGGCACTCTTGCGGCTGCTCTAGTCTAAAAATTAAGACCCATTTCAATAATAAGGACCGTTATTGTGTTACCAAAATAAGGGTGAGACAAAAATACCCAAAAAGAATTGTCAATTGTCAGGATTTGCAAATCAGAATTGCTTAATTTTTCAAAAAATATTTAACGGGCGGATTTAGGGGGGGGGAGGGGGTTGGCGGACGTTTTTTCTTAGGGATTCGACCCCCTGCCGACCCAAAAGGTCCCGCCTTTGTACTATTTTGAGATATTTTTTTTGGTAACGGTCCCTCAAGTTTTTCTAAAGGCGCCTTTAGCGCCATTTTATACCAATTTTGAGGGGGGAGCGCGCGCCGAAAAAAAAACGCGACTTTTTGGTCAAAATTTTCCAGAAAGTGCCAAAAAAGCCTTTTTCGGCCTGTTTTTTTTTAAATCAAGTTATGCTACTGGCAAGAAAATGGAATATTTATGCTCTGTGGTTTTGGTTTTTCTTCTGACCTGATTATGTTTGGGGATGAGAGAATATGGAATTCTTGAAAAAGATGATGGTATCAATTTTTGGTGGCGAGGGCACAGAGTTATTGACAGCCCACCCAACTCTCCCTCCACGCATACTAAATCTGCCACTGGTCTTGATTTTACTTAAGGACACAACTGGGGTTCGATGGATAACGGTTTGTGCATAAAAAGTCTTAGATAGCCAACCTGTATCCATTTTGCAGCATCTGTTGTATCTTCTTTCTCTCCAGGCCCTTGTAGGGTCCCTGGCCCCTGGATGTCATCTCGAAGCAGAGAACCCCGAAACTCCACACGTCAGATTTAGATGAGAACCTACAATATTAAATCTGAATTGCAATTTAGATTATTTAAAAATCATATTCATTGTCTTGGGGAATGTCGATGACAATCAAAAATGTACCATCTTCTAAAGCAAATATAGACACAAAATATGCCTCCAATTCAATTGTAGTCGCAAAATCTCTAAGATCTCATTTGGTTCTGGCTGTTCCATTACTATATTACTTTTTGGCCCTTTAATTCTAAATTTTCTTCAAAGGCGGCACCAGTATACACTTATCTGAAGGGTGAAGCTCACGTCGAAAAACTTTTGGCAGTATTTGTTCTTTTGCTAATTGACATTCTGAGGCTGCGACAGCGCGTCAAAATGGCTGGACGGAATTGGTTGGAATAAATTTCGAAAAGCAAAGTCGATGCCCCCTTTTAAAAACAAATCTTGCACATGCTCCACTAGTTACAGCAAAATGTTCTTTTTTTAAATAGAAAGCTTAGTTCTGAACTATAATTTATCTTACCTCTGTTCCGATAGACCCTCCGGTGCTGTCCATTTCCAGGGGAACTTACTCTTGGAACTGCCCTGGTAGATTTCGTTATCCATAAGGAAGCGAGCTAGTCCGAAGTCACATACTTTGCACTTGCGATCGTCGGTCAAGAGAACGTTTCGGGCAGCTAAGTCTCTGTGGACTATTTTGACTGTTTCGAGGTAGCTCATTCCTGTGGCTACTTGACCTGACAAACAGCAACAACGCTCAAAAATAATAACTCGATAGCATGCACTATTCGTTTCAATAATTTGATCACATTTTCGGTTGGACAGTGTTTAGAAAGAGCACCCCTTTGATCAGGTAAAAACTATTTTAATCTGCGCAATCTTCAGACCAGGAATGTTCGTTTTGTTTCAACTCTGTGAACAAAAAAAAGTAATCATTCAACCCGAAACTGGGTGGGGATATGTCAATCAGCTCGACTGTGTTTGGACATTTTTTTTCAGTTGATGAAAATCGTGTTCTACTTTGTTGACTTCGCTCGAATATATTTAGACCAGCTCCTCCGAAATTGAATGTGTTTCCATTTTCGCAACCAAAGTTTCATCACCCAGCTTAAATGGGTTTGAACAAATTTCGTCCTTTAATAAATTTCGTCCTAATTTCAAATTCTTGGCCGTCTGCGCATATTTTGCATATTGCAGACAATTTGACCCAAAGTCGGTAGAATTTTGGAAGCGCACTGATGCTTTGGTGATAATTTAGAGCCGAAGCAAAACTTAAACACCATAAGTCTGTGCTTTGTTTTCCAAAATGATACAGAAATCAGAAACTTTTGTTGCTAGGCATTTAGCCGAAAATTGTTTCCCCTGCGTCCTTTTTAAAGACAAAATTATGGGAAAAATAAAAAAACTTTTTTTTTCAACTTTTCGCTTTTTAGGCAACTAGATTGGGCGATGTCTCATTATACAACTGCTAAAGTAAGAAACATTGGTCGTAAAAATATTGAAAAGAAACTCTTCATCTTTTGCTAGAACAATGAAAACATTTGATCTGTTTTTCCCTGAAGGAGAATTTTGACCTGAAGGTACTTAATTTTCTTGACAACCAGTGCATCCAAACTTTTAAGGGTAAAATATAATGTTTTCAAACTGACTACTGATCAACTGGCAAAAAAAGTTAAATGTTCTCACAAGCAAAAATAACTAAAACTAAAACAAGAACAAGACTGCTCGTATCAGGGCGAAGCCCTGAATGTTCCGACTGCCTTTTAAATTTTATGGAGCAGCAGTAATAACATAAAAAAATTAAATGAAATAAAATAAAATGAAAATTTTTTTTTTTCTAAAACTTGAAAATTTTTATGAAAATCATCCCCCCACACGCCAAATAAAGTACAAAAAGAGAGATTTCGTTCCTTGTAACAAATCAATTATGGCAAATAAGATTCGTTCAACCAATTTGGAACGATTTATAAGGCGGATTAAATCTCCGCTTACGCGTTAATAGCGCGAATTATATCGCGCGTTAATTGTCCCAATTTGGTCAAAATGGCCAAAATGGCAATCTTTAAACCCTCGTAACTTTACAAAAAATGATCACAGGTGAAATATCTTTTCAAATTTGAGCTCAGGACAACAATACTTTTTGAATGATATAAAAAATTCCGTCAGAAATGGCTAGTTAAAGTCGAAATTTGTCTGAAGAAAAAAACCCACCCCGAGCACAAACATTCCGTTACTTTCGTATTGAAAGTCGGAACAATAAACAAGACTGCTCGTATCAGGGCGAAGCCCTGAATGTTCCGACTGCCTTTTTGGTTTATAGAGCAGTATTAACATTAAAAAATTAAATGTAATAAAAAAATGAAAAAAGTTTTTTTCTAACATTTAATTTATTTTTTAAATGAAAATCATTACCCCACACGCCATATAAAGTACAAAAAGATAGATTTCGCTGCTTGTAACAAATCAATAATAGCAAATAAGCTTCTTTCAACCAATTTGGAACGATTTGTAAGACGGATTAACTCTCCGCTTACGCTTTAATAGCGCGAAATATATCGCGCGTTAATTGTCCCAAATTGGCCGAAATGGCAATCTTTAAACCCCCATTACTTTACAAAAAATGATCACAGGTGAATGTCTTTTCAAATTTGAGCTCAGGACAACAATACCTTTCGAATGATTTTAAAAAATTCCGTCAAAATGGCTAGTTAAAAAGTCGAAATTTGTCTGAAGAAAAAAAACCCACCACGAGCACAAATATTCCGTTACTTTCGTATCGAAAGTCGGAACAAAAAGAAATTTTGCATGCAATCAAATTTTTTTGGAAAATTTTTGTTTGAGTACAAAATTCAATTTGCTAGACATACAATTCAAAATTCAAAAATTCTAGACTTTTAGATTAGAATCAAACAGCCGCGGAAATTATTTTAATTTTTTTTGTACGAAAATTGTATGCTAAGCATTTTCGGTTTTCGGTGCATGGAGGTCAACAAGGGAGAGGCGGGCGAGCAATTAACGTAGATTGAACAGGTCGCAAAAACTAACTAACCGATCATTTTGACAAGTTTCTTCATTGAACATTTCTGCCCGTCTGAGTCTCTCAGAAATCCAATTAAACTCCCCCCGTTGCAGAACTCAGTCACTATTAAGGGGGGTTTCTCGTGAGCACACACGCCAATCATCCGAACCAAATTGCGATGTTTCACCTTAAAGTGAAAACGTATCAGATAGTTTTGAGTTATATAGCATCGTGATCAACTACGGAAAATTAATTTAAGTCAGGTAACTAAGCTTGGGTTGAAAATTAATCATTGTTGGTTCAAATGGCACACATATTTTTCAGGTTTGGACTCAATTGAAAATTCCGATTAATTCCGATGAGAAAAGGAAACTAGCTTGATTGCCACGCGAACCGTTTGAAAGGTTAATACTGTCTTAGAAAGGTTTTTTCAAAAAGTTTCAGGTCAGTTGAGATCAAACATAGAAGTTAAAATTGGAAATTTTTGATCTAAATAGGGTTAGTTTGAGCAGAATTTTTTTTCTAAATATGGTAAGTTTGAGCATAAGCTCAGCGCAGGCTTGCGTCAGATCTCAAAAAAAAAATATGTAAACTCAATTTCAACTCTGTCCTAGTTCCGAAGTTACTCATCTGCCTGATAGTTTTCCCGAATTAGCTTAAGTGTCTGCAATTATCAACCCAAAAATTATACTCGGTCGCACTGCCATTATACGAACTTTGGTCAGTATTTCGGCTTCTTTGGTGAAGGCATCGGGGTCGTTGGTGGCCTCAATTAGAGTCTTTACTGCTACCTCCAGCTTCTCAGAGTTGCCCTTCTTGTCAGTCTCTGTCCATACGCCTCGATGCACTTGTCCGAAATGACCAGCTCCCAGAGGCTCTTTGTCCAGGATTATTTTATCGCGCGGAAGCTCCCATGAGTTCTGAAATTATGAGATTGAGTGAACTGAGATTCATATAAGCATATTGAAGCATCATTTTTTCTCTTTTAGAAACTTAGCATAGACCACCTCATGAAATAAAGATCCACTTCAAAAGTTTTTGAGTGAGACTCAATGGTTAGATATGGAACAATTACATTTGAGTATTTGTTTTTATTTTTGTTTTTCTTGTTGTTGGGCTTGAGAAAGGTGGGCGTGTCGCTCAGTTTGACAGCCAGTCCAGGGTTCTCACTGTAGTGCTTCAGGAGTTTGGACAGGGAGTCGAAACAGTGTCGTTCGTCTATGTAGAACCACTCTTTCAACTACAAAAATAAATGGAAAAATAATAAGTTGGTACACCAATTGAATGGCATCAATAGTTAATTTCTTACCAATTTTCTGAAAGAAAGACGGCAACACTGTAAAAAAGTCGAACATACCTTGCCCCTCTCGCAAAAACTCAAAATAAATCCGGAGTGAGGGTACCTTTTTGATTTAAGAAGGCTTCAAAATATTCACAACTCCCACAAGAATAGCAATTCAATAACATTGCGACCAATTCAAAGTTTTGTGGACGCATTTGATTGTTTTTACGTTGTTTTTTGTATTCAGGGGTGTTTTACTTTTTTCTTTTTTTATCTTAACAGGGTTCAACTTAACAATCTTAAAAATCTCCCAGGGATCAACTTAACAATCTCTCCACCCCCCTTTCTTGAAAGGGGGAGATTCTCTAGTAGGTACAATAGGGGGGAGATTGTTAAGTAGATCTAAGTAAAATTTACGGCAGACTTGTCTCATGCTGTCGCGCCAGTTTTGCTAAAAGAAAATAGTTGCTCACTAATATCATCTCTGGTTTCTCTCTATAAATTATGAAGTGGAGTATCTATCAGAGAAACTTAGCGAAGAGTTAAGTGTCCGCCGCGATTGAACACGATCAACATAAAAATATATAGTTTGAAATTTATATGGATATGGACTTCATAAATCTAATAGAAATTTAAAGATGTTTGTTTGGTCACAAAATCATTTTTCCAACTGGGAAAAATGTATTTTGGTCAATTTTGGAATTGAAATTTAATTATACCTGGCTATAAATTTCAGTTGAGCCATCGAAAACGCTAGTCATATAATCCAGCTTGTGTTAAAATTGCACGATAGTATATTTTTTCAAAAAAATGTTTTTTCCTCAAAACTTTTTTCTTAAATGTTAACTCAAATCTTATTTAAATCACCCTTTTTTGGCCCGTAAATTTCAGAAAAATCTTAATGATGAAATAGTTTTTCTTTTTAATGTTTTTTTTCTGCTTTTTTTCAAAAAAAAACATTTGGAAAATTCCTATCCATGTTTGTGTCAAAATTGTTCCTTCTGCTTGTTTTAGAAGATTGACAATTTTGAAAAGAAACCTGAAGAGCTTTGAGGTGAAATTTACAATGTATGTAATCTCTGAAAGCACCAAGACTGCTTGAATCACGGCTAAATCCATAATGCTCCGAGTGCCTTTTCAGGTCTGTGGAGAAGTAGTCGCTTTAAGAAAATTGAAGTTGAGTCTTTTAATTTTGTTTATTTCAAAGTATATCAAAGTATTAAACAGAGCCAACTGACAGTTGGAAAAGAGTCGTGAATGCAAGTTAACAGAAAAAAAAACAGAAAAAAAACTTTCAAATTTCAAGGGAACAAATAGATGCTCTTCAAGTTCTTTGAATTTCTAGAAGAAAAAAAAATTATGGTTGGTTTTTTGATAACATTAACCTAACTCTAGAAAACTGGATCAAAAGGTAAAGTTTTTATTCCGCTGGAAATCTATAAGTTAAATTCCACTTTCGAAACTTGAAATTGTTCACGCTTTTTCGCGCCATTTCCACGCTCTTATTTGGAGAGTCTTGTTTACGTACTCTCACCAGATCAATTTCAACTGAACTCAAAAAGTGCATATATACCTAAGTGCTTTCATCATTGCATTAAATTGTATGAAAGCAGATCTGTAGTTATTAGAGCATCTTAAGACTTTTTCTGAAAAAATCACAAAAAAAACCACCAAGACTTACACTAAATGACGAAATAAAGAGCAAATTCAAGATTTTACTCCCTAAAATGCCATTTTTCAATGTCCATCTTAAATCATATTTTCTTAAATATTCAGCAAAATTTTGCATAGACCAAGAGCAAATGACTAGAGCTACCCTTTATGAAACTATCAAATTTTGATTTTAATGACTCATCAATGTAGTCTGGGTATGGAAATGCCAGTTTTCCTTATCTGCACTGAGTTTTTTTCTAATTCACGTGAAAAAGTAATAAACGTCCGAGTTTGGTAAACTTTTCTCACTGATTGTTTCCATTTTCTCTCGCTGATAAACTTTTCTTATCGCTTGAACAGTTTTTTTAATTTCCTTTATTCAAGAAAGAATTCACTACGATGCAGATGAGGAAAACTGTCATATCCACACCCGGGTTACATAGATAAGTCATCAAAATCTCATATTGATAGTTTAATAGAGGGTAGCTCTGGTCATATGATCTTGGTCCATCCAAAACTAGATTTTGAGGGAAATGTTGTCCGAGATGGACATTGAAAACAGTCAGTTTAGAAAGTAAAATCTCGAATTTGCGCTTAAATTTGTCCACTAGTGTTTATAAGAGTCTTCACTACGCTCATTACTCTTAAACAGGTCAAATAGCATGCCTCTGTTCAATTGGTAATGATTTCCAAGACGGACTTAAGCTCATCTTGCGCGTTAATAACGTAAAATTTTGGTTAGTTTTTCCAAGTTGACCAATTTTCTAAACCCCCATTGCTTTACAAAATACAATAAAAGACAACAAAGGCATGTCAGTGGTCACTCCAAGACAACAGTAGCTTTTGGATGATATAATAAAAACTCCGTAAAAAATGCTAGTTAAAAAGCCAAAATTGGTCTGGAGAAAAAAACCACCGCGAGCGCAAATTTTCCGACATTTTCTTTAAAAATAGGAACAATAATAACGATTTATGATGCTTTCTCTTATCTCTTTAGTTTTTTTGCTTGATAATTTCGCAGACATATTAGAATTTCTATTTGATGACGATACAGATCAAGTTTAATTTACCAAAGCTAAGGGTCATAAAGCATTGAAGCTGACCCTAGACCGTGTAATTGATGCTGGTTGTCCCCCTGAAAACCCTTTCAAAGTCTATTGAAGTGCCGATTCAGCTTCACACGATTTGCTTTTTGACAACAGGAAGACAATAACTGGCACCACTTTCTAGCCACATAATGCTCTCTCCTCTATTTCTACTTCATCCTGCATTCGTCTATTTCATCCTGGAAACATCGACTATGAAAGCCATTAAATTGTAAGAATCTGCTGGCTCAAATAAGATTGGCTTAGCTCAAATTGGAACTGAATATCTCGCATGACGGGTTTTTTTTTCACTGTACTAAAAATGCTTTGAAGATAAAAGCTGAACATTAACATCTACAGATAAAAACCTTAACATCCACAGTCTCTCAACTGGGTGATATGCTCCAAAAAGCACAAATCGATTGGAAGCCATCAGTTTGATTGGTACAACCAAAGGTGCAATTACGTCAATTTGTTTCAAATTCTCGGTATGACAGTGCTCAGTTATGCGCATTTGTGCTTTATTGGTATTTGACGCAAGACCACCAATGGATAGTGCACAGAACTTCAATCTGAACAATCAGCATCCAGCTCAAAAGAAGGGCGGCTCCAGCGAGTATGTGTTTCTGCCCAAAGTGATTCCAGACAAGCGCAGCAGACAACTAAAATCGAACTGGGATGTAGTGGATCAGTTGGTGCATGCTACCAGAGAAATGAAGATGAACACGACAAGTTCACCCCAGACGAGCGAACTGACCACCTCTCATAACATTCTGCCCAAGCAACCCTTGGGGGGTGTAGCGGGGGAGAACCCACGCAGTTTAGACGCACAAAGCATGCGCCTACTGAGTCTGAAGCACGACATGAACAAAAACTCGTCCAATTACGTGTTCAACGCCAATAATTTGGTGTATTCTTTCATTCATCATGCGCAAACTGGCCAGTTGCAGCCATCGAGGAGAGTGATGAAGCCTGCCAAGCTAAACTGTTTCGACCTCAGCGCAAACCCCAAACTAAACATGAGCAGCACAAAGCTCTCTATGGAAAACCCCTTTCAGTGTCCGATAGCTTTTGCCCCAGTTTCTTGTCAGCGTCAAGAGTGGGCGCAGAGATCCGGTGTGGACGTGAGTGGAGCGGCGACGGAGAGATTGCAGACTGTTGCGAGGCCGAGGAAAGTAAACTACCAGCAGATCATGCGTGAACAGCGTGAGAGCCGTGCGAAGTTGAAGCGGAAAGCACAGATCAAAATGAAATGGAAGGGAGCTTACGAACAGATTGTTGCAGAAAGAAGGACCAGACGGGCTAGAGTGTATGCTATGTTCGAGAAGTGCAGTCAGGATCTGTTGAAGAAGCATTTTTCGAGGAAGGACGGAAAAGTGTCGGAGCAGGTCAGTTAACAGGATACTT